AGTGTTTTAAAAAAAGAAATGGGATTTATTACACTTAAAAATTGTATATATCGTATCAGTGCAAAACTCTAGAAATACACGCGTTAAAATTTCTATATTATGCGCAATCCATTGGAATGATGATCCTTAGTTAACTACAGGCCGATTCTTTATTTTTTTTATTGGTAATCCCTTGCAATAGATATATGTCGCTGCTAACACGTGTCTAATAAAAATAAAATATAATATTACATTCATTTTATACTGAAAAAACACTGTGAGACAAAGTAACCCGCAACCAGGGGGTAACTTTGCACACCCAGTTTTTAATGTTTATTTTTGAAACTCAGCCCTATGTTATATTATAACATAGTTATTATGAAAGAGCAACTCAAGACTCAAATTTTGGTATACAAAATTTAATGTTTATGATTGTTAAAACCACAAAAATTTTAAGCTGAAGTTTGAAAGTGAGCCAAAGCCACCCGTGTTTACGGTAGCGTAAATTAAATTAAATTATGTTGGCCCAAAGGGGCACGGGTGCCAGAAGGGCGCAGCCCCATCCTGGCCTACGGTGCTAGTCAGACCTTTTTTGACATCTAACAGCTGTCAAGCTGTGTTAACCTTACTTTTTACCAATCTTGCATTTTTCAAACTCTGAGAAATGTAAGATTGTAAAAAGTAAGGTTAACACAGCTTGACAGTTGTTAAATGTCAAAAAAGGTCAAATAAATAAAAAATGGAAAAGTATTCAAGGAAAATAGTTTACTTTCCTATTTCACAACTTTTATTAAATTACTTACTTTCAAATTTTTAAAGGCGTTGCGGTAGTTTAAAATATACTAATAAAAAATATATATACAAGTTTGCAAAAAATGTTTACTTTAAAGTAATTACAACTTGTTCTTAAACGCAGAATTTAAAATTTTAAATATTACATGTAAAATCGGCCCATCTATTAATACCCGCGGTACATACAAACTTTTATGTCATACCAGTTCATTATTGCAACCACAAAATAAATATTTAAAAATCTGAAAATTTCATTTCATTTTAACAACATTTTCATTTTATCATAATGCTAAATAATGTTAAGTAGATATTTTAATTTCGTATTTTGTAATTATATTAACAAAAGTAATTGAGCTAATAAGTTTATTTATAATGTAGTTGGTAACTAAGCAATAAAAACACAATAATTAACTGATGGGACATACTTTAGGTTTCCACGAAAACTCTAAAAATTTTAAGTGATTCGATTTAGTAGTTTCCCCATGATGAATTTTAGAAAAATGGTTTTCTAATTTTTAGGTTGCAAAAACAATAAAAACAAAAATGAATTTTGGAAAAACACTCAGTGGTTGGTAAGGCCTACTCATTTTAACAAACAATAATGATTTTTGCGAAAATTGTTAAAAATCAAGAGAAAGATTGGGCGAGTTTCCACTCTATAAAAAGTATAAATTATCTGCAAAAATGGCGAATGCGCCGGGATGAAATATAACATTTATTAAATATAAATTTTATATTCATAATATATACATATATATATATATAATAATATACACACTGACTTCCAAAAAAGTGGCGCACTACATTATTTTCATTTTATACATTAAATATTTAAAGTAAGACCAAGTTTTTCCTTTTAAAATTCAAATTAAACATATAAAAGGATAAAATTTAGGTTTATTTAAAAATATAACAAAATAACTAGCATGAAAAACTTAAAAATAAAAAATTGACCAAAACCGAAATAACATTAACATTTTTAGATGGAAACTCCTGACTTAAAACATAAACAAATTTGTGTTTTAATTTTTGTTAATACCGTGTGTTGCCCCCTCGGGCTTGAATCAAAGCAGCAATTCGTCTAGGCATACTATGAATAAGATTATTGATAAAGTTCTGATCAGGATTCTCCCATTCTTCCCGTAGGCCATTACGAAGTCCTTCCAGGGTCTCTGGACGAACAGGTCGAGCTTTAAGTCGTCTCTCTAATTGATCCCATACATGCTCAATCGGATTCATGTCGGGGCTCATAGCAGGCCATATTAAACGCTCAATTCCGACTTCCTCTAAATATTCAAGTACGCACCTTGCCACATAATATATTATAACCTTGCATTATCCTGCATGAAAAAAAAATTTGGACCAATAAAGGGGGCAAACGGAACAACATAATCTTCAAGAATGTCTCTAATGTATGAATTTGCATTCAAAGAACGTTCTCGAAGAATAAATAGCTCTGTTTTTGCGCCTAATGAAATGCCAGCCCAAACCATTACTGAACCACCCCAAAAATTCTCTTGCTCCACCACAGTAGCTGCACTATACCTTTCACCTTGTCTTTTCCAAACTCTATGGCGTCCGTCAGGTGAACGCAAGCTAAACCGGGATTCATCTGAAAACAAAACACGCCTCCAATCATTTTCATTCCAACCTTGGTGAATTTGGGCAAACTGAAGTCGCTGTTGTCTGTGCCCCAACGTTAGTCTAGGTACCCGAGCAGGTCTTCTTGACTTTAAACCATTTTCCTCCAAGCGTCGTCTAACTGTTTGAGCACTTACAACTCTTTGTCTTGCACCTAAAAGTCTTTGAGCGAGCTCAACGGCTGTTTGATGACGGTCTCGTGAACTTTGTAGCAGCAAAAACCGATCATCTCTTGCTGATGTAGCTCTTGGGCGACCCGATCCACGACGCCGGGTCATGTTTGTTTGACGGTATTTCTGTAGTGCCCTTCGAATGGTAGATTCTGGTTTATTTAACGCACGACAGCATATCGCACGCTCCGCCCATCTTTCACTAACGCTACTGCTTTTGCAATTTCTTCGGGTTTAATTTGCATTTTAAAGTATCTAAGTTCAAAATTTATTGCCGCGTTTAATCTAAAATGAATATTATAAAAATGGAAAAATAGCATTTTTTTTATTTACCTCAAAACTTGAAAGTAATTAGAAATAACACAGAATCTGAACACTAATGTCTTTTTATATAACTAATCTCAAAAATTGACGTTAAAATTATGCAAATAAAACAAACCATAAACAAATTTCAAATAGAAAGCAAAAAAAATTAAGTTTCAACTTTTTTTGGAAGTCAGTGTATATATATAATTATATATTATATAATGTATATTATATAATTATATATAATAAATCTGGAAATGGTACACATTAAATTGTCAAACGTTGATGACGTGAGCGCAAGTTAGTTTAATTTTTAAATCAAAACAGTAGTGTATTGGTCGAGATTAGTCGAAATCCAATTTTTTTGAATTTTCTGCTTGCAAGCATTTTTATTTGATCTTAAATTATTTTGCGTAATGCCAAAATAATAAATTTTTTTTTTAATTTTTATAAATTTATTATATAAGTACCTTTTTACTAAGTATATTTATTTAATTTTATATTTAATCCCGCAACTTAGTTTAAGTCCTACTGTACTATAATGATCTAGGGACTTTTTAGGTGTGTATATTATAATTAAATGGAAAATAGACTTTTACATCTGTTTTTTTCATTTCAAATAAAAATTTTGTTATTAAGGTAGTTGTCGTGGTACAATATTGTCAAAAAATTTTAGATTATACGCACCGTAAAAGTATACGAGCTTGTAGCTAAGTGATTCATAATTTTTTTGCAAGACTGTACCCTTGGAGACGTTACCTTTACGTAATACTTTCAAATATTTTCATAAGTTCTAATCCGGCAACGTCGCTTATGCTCAACCATTATATATTGGAGACTGAATCAGTCTGTTTGAATTTACTGAGGAAATAATATCTATACTCGCGTACAGCGTTGCAGTTGTTTTTATCTGACAGTATTGATGTATACTTTTTTACAAATTGTTAAAATTTAAACTGTTATTTATAAACAATTGGACGGTCAAAAAATTTTAATTATTTTTTTTTAAACTCAGCAAAAATACATTAAAAGAGTGTTAGTTTTTTGAAAGCTTTTGACAGTTAGTTTTTTTTATAACTAAGAAACTTATACAGAACTACAGAAAGCGTATACAATCAATGTTAATTATCCAATTTTTAATTGAATTTATCTCGGGTTATAGACGGTCAATCGATTTCAAATTTAAAGGATAATTGTATTGTCATGTCCTTAATAAGTAAACAAAAGTTTCTGATGGTATGTTTACAGCACGACAACTACCTTAAGTTGTTGCGATACTTTAATTTTGTTTAGACTTTACTTTACTTCCATCCGTCATTGGGTCCTTTGTGTTTTCAATTGTGAAAATATGTATGGTCGAGTTATTGATAACTAACTTAGGTAGCAGCGAACGTATTAAAAAGTGGACCTAATACAGTTTGGCTCTGGGGTGCAGATATAAATTTACATTTATGCGAAATTATACCCATTTAAATTATTCATTATGTTATGGAATCATTAAAGCCATATTCAGAACCTTGTAATTAGTGGAAAAAATTAGTGGTTTCAATTATACTTATAATTAACACAAAACGATCATTCACAATACGCAAAATTAACATTTAAAATTAAGGGAATTTGTTAAAAGATTGTCAATTCTTCTTAACCTGACATAAACAATAATAATTATATTGAAATAATATTATTTACAACCAATACAATAATATTTATATAACCTTTCCTTCACTGGCAAATCTTTAAACTTTTTGCTTTTGACATGCGTACATTAAGCCGCTTTCAAATTATAATTAGTGGTAAAAGTTTGAAATTTGCAAACTTTTTCCACTAATTGAAAAGTACTACCACTTAACAACAACACAACAACAACACTTTAATGTTTATTTTCGCGAAGCATTAAAGATGTGTTTTTTGTATCCTATATTTAAAAACCATAATTTTTACTTCCTTATGTATATGATTAATTTATTTATTTGTAAAAATATCAAAACAATATTTCAGTGGTCCTACATCTCCTTTTTTGGAACAACCAGTACTAATTTATTATAATTAACTCGGTAAATTACTTTTGGCTTTCCACTAAATAATGTTAACAGTTGGGACTAAAATACTTACGGGATGATTTGGCTGTAAATGTTATTGGGCTATCCCATTCCTCCCTGCTAGATTTTGGTTCTGTATCTCCATTCTCATTAAGAACTTCGCTTATGTAATCTAATTAAAAACATAACCATTTAAAATAAATTGTAAAAAGATTTTCTTATTATAAATAAATAAAAATATACCGTGGGAAAATTGTTTTGCTGTGCCATTTTGCTGGAATTCTGGAAAGCTTACGTGATTTTGCTTCCCATCCTATAGAAGAAGAAAAAAATGCTTAGAAAAAGTTTGAAAAAGTATATAGATCATTGTTAAAGTATAATTAATACCTTATTCATTTTCTTGCTATGTCTTTTATGATGGTGCTTTTTATCGGCGACCAATCTTCTCATATTAAAATGCATTCTATAATTGACTTGGGTTGATAGGTCACGGTCATTAACTGCATGCCTACTGTAGCTTAACCGACGATGCTGTAAAAAGTAATTGCAATAAATGTAGGTCAAATATTTTTATCCATTGATGATTTATAAAAAACATATCGATAATGCATCCAATAACATTCTAAGTAACATTTTCAAAAAATCCAGTATACATTTATAACAACAAATAAATACAATTAGTTGCATGCTCGTATTTAGATAGAAATATCTATTATTTGGTTTAATGTGGCAAAAAGTCTATTTCTTCGTTTTTATAATGATGCTCACATAATTTATAATATTAAAAGTACATTAGGAACCTAGGTACATTATAATATAATATATATAATAGTCAGTGGCGAAGCGTGCGGGTAGACCATATATCAATAAGATAAGGATAACTCTTGACCACATGGCATAATATGTTATGCCAAATAGCGTACGCAGGGAATACAGGAAATACACTTATATTATTATTATTATATTATTTATACATATATATATATATATATATATATATATATATATATATATATATATATATATTATTATATATAGAGGAGTGATTTTTCAAAAGGTCGTATTTCCATTTGCAACAATTTTTTAAAAAAATGACTATAACCTGTATAGGTTAGGGCAATATAGATTATTTAAAAAAAAAATTCTGATGAATATTTAATAATACTTCAGACCTGCTGTCATATTTCGCCGTTAATATATGCCTTTTAACCATACCTTTGGGATTTTGTCAAAAAAATACATTCAAGTAAAAATGGAAATAAGGCCTTTTGAAATATCACTCCTCATATACGCAAGAAATTCAGGGAATCCACTTATGTATATATACCTACATTTACACAACATTCGCGTATCCGTCAGTCGGTTTGGACAGCATTCACATTTTCTCCATTTAGTCATAATAAACAATCATAGCAACCTTATTTTTTTGCATATTTCTGAAATTCAGACTCTGAATTGTCCTATGTGCCATAAATGTGATAAATGTGGATTAATAAAATATTATAATTATAAGGTTGTTATGTGATTCACATTATCAGGCATTCAACGACACGACAATTTTCAATACAATGTTTGGTATGCTGATTTTGGCAGTGTATTAGTAATAAAGATTCGGCAATAGTAGCTATTTTACTCGATAAAGAAGAAAATCAAATAATTCTGCGCCAGTTAGCGCAAGTTATCGCGGTTAATAGTGTGTAAGTTTCTTCAGCGAACAAACAACACATGAAGGGCCTTCATTGAAGGCGGCCCTTTAAAATCGCAAGATAAAAGTCAAAATTCGGTATAATTAATAAATAAAACTTTACGTTAAACCGCAAAGAAAAATTAATAACATAATTTAATTTTTAATCAAACTTAAACATATCTCTAGCACTCCTCAAACTATTTCAAAAGTGGAAATTGCTGCCGGAAATCATGGCCGTCAACTTTATGTCAAAGCGTGTCAAAGTTGAAAAGCTTAGGAAACTATAGAAATTATGCGTTTGCAGTTTGGATAATTTATCAAATTGATTCAAAGGTATCACATTGGACATTACAAAGAATAGAAAGGCATTAGCGAAATAAGTGTTAACCAGGCACAACATTTTGGGGGCGCAAAATCTAAGGGTCAATCAGTACTTTGTAACGATAAACTTTCTTGCAATAAACAAATTCCTAAACATGCATAGCATAAAGATTACCCCCTTCTTTGCGTCGGCCGTATTAAAGCCTCATGCCGCTCTTCTTTTCGGCCGCTATAAAGCGCCTTTTGAAGCTCTAATATTGGCGGCTTAATTTTTTTTATATTAGTATCAAAATAAAAGGAGAGAAATTGTCAAAATATTTTAGTATTTGTTTGAGAGTTGCAGTTGACTGTAGCAAAGTTTAACAGTAGTCTACACAGTGCATGACTTTGTAACGAGTTACGTCACTAAAAACCAGTTGTAGTTATTATATTTTTATCTAGTTTTTTTTGTTTTCTTTAGGGTATTTTTATTATTAAATATTTTTTGTGATTTTTTTTTGGTGATTCAATAAATTTTTTAATTTTTTTAATTTTTTACTCCTATTGCATAATTTTGAGGTGTTTCCGTGAATATTGATAAACATATAAATTTTCTGCCTAACAACGTAAATAATGAACTCATTGTTCAGGTTGTTAGGAACTAGTGATTGGCCGATTTCAATATTCACTGTGATTTGAACCAATCGGGTTTTAAATTGGAAGAAGGCGACTATAAAATTGGTAAAAAGTGAGGTTAATCATTCAACAGATGTCAGATTTAATTTATTTAGTTTTGAAATTCATTTAATTATTTACTTATTGGAGTTGATGCCGCCGATACGAGAGATTCTTGCCTCTCGACTCGTCTGGTCTCGTCTCGACAAGACGAGAGGGCGATTTTCTGTCGAAAAAAGGCTCGAGACGAGACGAAAGAATGCCCTTTCTCGCTCGAGAATTTCTAGTTTCTCTCGATCTCTCTCGTTCTCTCGATTTTTCCGGTAATAAGTAAACAATTTTTTGTACATAAAAATTATAATTTTGCACATAAATGACGAGGTTTATTTGGTTCAGAAATATATATTTAAACTTTCCAAGCACTTATAATGATTTTAGAAAGAATAATTTAATTCCTCACTTCTACTAAGGGATTTCCCCTAATGGGTCATTCAAGTATTACGTAACGCTAGACGGGGGAGAGGGGGTCAGCACGAACGTTACGGTTTGTTACTGTGGGAAAGGGGGGCGTCCCGTTACGCAATTTTTCTTTAATTTTTTCCAATTAATTTTCATTAATTTTATTTCTCAGCATTATTATTATTATTATTATTATGTACTCTCAAGGGGCTATGCACGCACAGTTCAGAGCACCTAGCCGATGAGACTCTTGTACTCTATCCCCCCCGCATTACCTTAGGGCTGCCGAAGATATTGTCCTTCTTTGCAGAAGTCTAATATCTGTCCCACACTTAGCTCCCTAACCTGCTCCGCATGGATCTCCGTCTGCCCAAACACCGCGAATCTGGTCCTCGCTAGTGCTACACATTTGCACAAAAAGTGCTGGGAGTCTTCAATCTCCTCCTCGCATCTTTCACATCGTGGAGATGTTGTCTTTCCTATCACGTATCTGTGCTTGTTCAGATTGTTGTGGCCGGAAACGATTTCCACAATAGCCCTTATTTTTGGTCTGCTCAGCTTCAGGAGCTCTACCGACCAGGTTTCTACACCGCTGCCCATAAGGGTCTTGCCTGTGTTGCATCCCGGGCTTTGCTGCCACTCTCTCGCCTGTTGGCGCTTTGTCCATGCTTTAATGAGGTTTACGCCCTCCCTGAACGGCATGCCCACTACCTTCTCTTGAGGACCACATAGAGTGGTGCCCTCCTTTGCTAATCTATCGGCTCTTTCGTTGCCTTTCCATCCGGCATGACCTGGAATCCAGGCAAGGTTGAGCCGATTCCCTCTAGCGACTCGCTGGAGTGCCAGGATGGTTTCCTCTATCAGCTTGGATGAGAAAGACTCATTAACCAAGGCTTTTAGAGCAGCTTGACTGTCTGAGCAAATCCAGATGTCTCCACCTGTACCTCGTTCAGACAGAACCCTCGCGCATTCTTTTATGGCGAGAACTTCCGCCTGGAAGACCGTGTTGTGTCTGTCAAGTCTGTAGACAAAGCTGTCCACCGACTTTTGACCACAGAACCCGGCTTCCACTCCTTCCTTCTAGCATGGCCAAATTAAATTTTCCTAGTGTTACGTAACAACTAGAGGGGGAAGGAACGGCTAAGCGAAACGTTGGTATGTTACGAGGGGGAGAGGGGAGGTGTAAAAATTGCGTTACTTATTAGGTGAAAGGCCCCTAACTGATAACTAAAGGTTAAAAAAGTTAAGAAGCATAATATTATTATGATAAACTACAATCTTATAGGTTTTTCGAAAAATACTTTTTCCATATATATCGTATAGATAACGTATAGTATAATACTACTATTAGTATTACACTTGAGATTATGAGCATTATCTCTCGTATAATAATACTTATACTATTTATAGTTAATTTCAGCAGTTTTTAAAATATTTTAATTACATATTGCCAGGTTGTCGCAAAATATATATTTTTTAAATTTTAGGGCTTAAAATTAAAATATTTCATGTATTGTGTTTAAATATAAAAGGGGCGCACCAAAGAATGCTGCACGTAGGCGCCAGACACCCCAGGAACGGGCCTGTATGTGCATATCAAAGAAATCAGTAATGTAAAAGTTGTAAGATGACAACCCAATTTTTTCTACAAAAAAATTGGGTTGCTACGATAGCTAATTTCCATCATATTAGAAAACTGTGATTCTATGGAAACGTATGTTACGCAATTAATTAAAACTGCACAGAAGTAAAAAGGTACAGGCTTTAATATTGAATCAATAATATTGACAACAATTGGATTGGTTCTTTACTTTTGGCGGGAATACCTGAAAAATTCGCGCCATAGAACCGTCAGATGGCAGAACTGGAGGAAGTGATTTCTTTGGGGCCAATAGGAAATGTAAATTTAAAGTGTTCAGTGATGCCAACTTCTAGCGTTTTGAGGTAGCCATTTGAGACATTTTTTTATGATTTGGGACGTGTCTCAAAACTAACGTTTTCCACATTGTGTTGGCGACATTTTTGGAGACATTTTAACATTGATAATAAAA